CATTAGCCCTTTAGTTGACTTCAGGCTTCACAGAGGGGAAGGAACATCAAATTGAAAAAAAGTCAAGACGGGGGGGGGAACAGAAGAGTGTTTCAAAGATGTAAGAGACAAACACAAAGGTAGAACAAAGGTGAGGTGAGTACTGTGAAATAGTCGAATATGGCATAGAGTGAGGTGATGGTAGTTTGAAGTGAGAAGTCAACTGCCAGTTAATAGACTTTTTTGCCGTATGAGTATACGTTGCCCAGGGTGCACCACGTGGAGGTAAGTCTATCGCACATAGGCGAATCGCGTTTTCATAAAGAAGGGGAATATGCATTCGGGGCTAGTAGATGTATTGTCTCACCTTAACATTCACCTCTTTTGTCGATAAAGGACATTTTTCAAATGCCAAATGCTAGAAAACCTCAAATAAGCAATCGTATGCTGCAGCGTGAAGTACTGCTGCATTAGACTAAAGCACAAAACGTGCTTGAAAGTTAGAGAATATTGCTTTGTAGGCCTGAAGGCATACAAATAATTTGATAAATAAAGGAAAACTCGTATTCACAAATTCAATAAAATAGCAGATGCAAAATCGATGTGCAACATTTTGAATGTATTAATGGGAAATGAGTTGCCAAAACTTGTCAATAATTAACTATATTGAAATTAACAAATGAAGAATAGTTTTATTTAAAAAATATTAACCTCCAACATGAAAATATGACAAGGTCTATCTGATTAACATATTATAGTCCTTCAGTCATACATCCACAAAAATAATTCATTTGATTAAAATAAGATACGAGATAGTGCTTTATGTTGTCGCTTAAACTCATCATGTTACCGTTACATTATCATACGAAGGTCACAATGAATTCGATACAAATTCATAGTTTTCCATTTCAAGAAAATTTACCGAAAGTTTGCATTTGCTCAAGCATCAGTGTTGAAATTGAAGAAATGGCGTTGGAGCTCAAAATGTTTTTTTCAATATTCATGCTAGCATCTATAACACATAGTAGAATTCTTTAGCCGTATATTACACAAGCTTAACCAGTAATATTATCCGATCGATCCATCCGGAGCACACTGATGGTAAGTAAACCCAATACCTCCGGCATAACAAACGAGTAAGGAGACCAATGCGCCGCCGATGCATAAAAGCGCTTGGTAACAGATTTTACAGTAGCAGCACAGTTTTTCGCGAAATGGGGAATAATTGTGCACATTAAGGCAGTCTGAAGTTGATTAAATAACTATCACATAAAGGACTTTAAGTTCATTGAAAAATTTAACGGCAACTTCTTAATGGAACAGAATTTCTTATGTTATAGAAATTCGGAATCTCACAACCAAATTATCGACAAAACTGCTAATAAATCAGTAAGAAAATCAAATACGAATATATAACTTAAGATTTATAATAACCTGACAGTTTATGATCCCACCTTAATTAACATTTAAATTGACTAATTTCGATGAAAAAATCAATTAAAAAAGCTAAAAACTTAATTTCACGGTATATCTAACACCAAGAATAAGAAAATATTAAATATAAACGTAAAAATTACGTTTAAAATTAAAAAAGATTATCTTTTGTGTAAATTTATAGAATCAGAATTATTTCGTTTGAGCTCATCAATAAGCCAGGAATGTAAACTATATACTCTCTAATTATTGGTCGAAACGAAGGTGCTTGACCTAGCCGATTTCTAGCGAGCGCGCAAATTTTGACCACATTTTAGCAAAATTAGTTGAAATGGTTTCGCATATTAAAACTAGAGAATATGCTAAACCTCGAACAGGAGAACCCTTCTTCGAGTGTTTTGAAGAAATATCATTAAAAAATGCAGTCCTGACTTATTTTGCATTTTTACTTCTTAATCTCCTCGGCAGATTACAAGATTTCTTGCGGAAACATGGTATTCTTGATAATCCAGCTTCTAAGGAGAACCCATTAACCAAGTCATTTGTCCCTCTTTACTCGGATTATGAAGCCTTTTATACAAGAAATCTCTATCGACGTGCCCGAGATTGTTGGAATCGACCTATTTGTTCAACTCCTGGACCGGAAATAGTTCTCATGGATCGAGTCTCTTATGACAGCTGCTGGACTTTCGAGTAAAATAATTATTTATTACTTTGCTTTACGTTATTACTGTACCTTTGGCTAATTTGTGTAATTTTAGAATGACTAATACTACTACAAAAGTATTAAACTTTGGCTCATATAACTACCTCGGATTCGCAGAGCCTTCTGGACCTTGCATCGAGTCAGATATTAAATCCATAGAAAAATATGGACTTGGCATCGCAAGCTCACGTCTTGAAGTCGGCACTTTAGATATCCATGTAGAGCTGGAGAACCTAGTAGCTGAATTTGTTGGTCAAGAGGCTGCTATTGTTTTCGGAATGGGCTTCGCTACCAATGCTCTTAGTATGCCCCGTATTTTTGACAAGGTTTGTTTTTTTGCTTAATATTTTAATTGACAGTTATTATTATTTGAGGTTTTCACTTTTTGAACCGTTTTTGATTTTTTTAATATTTTCTCACGTGGTTTAAATATTTAAAATGATACTATTAACACCTTATTGGTCATATGAAACAATGTCCGATATTAGATCAACATCTCTACGTTCATGTGACTCATTCATACAGAGGAAGTACTTTTTTAATCCTTAAAAGTTTTGACAAATGATCAATACTGTGTGTGCCGAATGCAATTGAGATCTAAGTGGTTTTAGTATATGCAAGCATACGTGTGAGCTACGTCGTTGTGCTGCGGTGATAATGACGAGCGAATTAAGCCCCTCGCAGAAATAATTCTTCTGGCATTGGCAATGTCTTGTTTCAATGGAATTTGTACCACCTGTCAGTTGTTGGTAGTCAAGGCTCATAATGTTGATATAGTGTGTAATAAGATTACTTCAGATAAAGCTTTCAGTATGATTTACAACTATCCGCTTTCAAATTCATCCAAGTGCGCGTAAATGTTTTACTGGATTATTTAATTTGTGAGCTCTGGAATGGGTTCAAAACCAATAGGATTAAGACTGACGTAGACAGGGTTTTTCACCTTCACATATTTAGATTTTTAAAAAAAGATTTCATACATTCACAAAACATTTTTGCTCACAGTATAATCATCTATTATATGGTAGTTGAGGAATAAATGTTTTTGTGAATATTTAAATTTTTGCGTTCAAATTTCCCAGCATTATGCATTAATTTTCGCGTAGGGAAAGATTGATGTAGGTGCAGCAACCTTTATTGTCCTTTTCAAGACTAATTGATATTAGAAGTCTATTATAATGTTTTTCTCTTTTGAGGTTTTTCAAAAGCAAATTTACAATATGAAAGCTGCAAATAAATGTCTTATTACCTGAAGAAGGGAGATAAATTAACCCTTTCTCCAATTATAACTATGAAATTGGGAAAAAATGTATAGTTTCTGCTCTCCTCACCCGTGTTTAACGCCTTGGAGCTATATATATATATTCATGCATTTGAATACTTTGATGTACTCTTTTAAAAAAACAGAAAATGATTTCTGTTTGCTTCGTAACAACTTAACAAAACCTCTCTTTTCACTCTGTAGAACTCCTGCATAATCAGTGATGAACTGAATCATACCAGTTTGATTCTAGGATGTCGTTTGTCGGGTGCTACCGTTCGACGGTTTAAACACAATGACATGGATGATCTTGAAAGGTGTCTCAAGGACGCTGTTATTTACGGAAGGCCTAGAAGTCGACGACCCTTCTCGCGCATTTTCATAATTGTGGAAGGCATCTATAGGTGAGTTTATGCAAAACCCTACTTGGACAAACTCTTTCTAGCGCAAATTTATTCCATTTTAACCAAAGTTGAGTTGGAGCATTAGAAAAATTACTACCCATTTTTTTCTCGTGTGAAGAGAGAGGACTCGACTTTTGAAGACTTTATTCTTGAAGTGAAAGTTTCTACCTCTAGTTGCAATGTTTCTACTATCGCTAGACAACTTTTAATACATTTTCTCGAATATGCTGTATGATTCGTTAAAGACGTCCACTTACCAGAAAACATGCCTATATACTCCAAGTGTTGTTTAAAATATCCTTTAAAATTCCATCTTTCAATCAAGGACATTTCAAACAAATGTAATAAGATTTTAAATGGACAGAGGAAAATTAAATTCATTTCTCCGCTTTTACTGACTTATTGGGGATTCTAGCTATGCAGATGCAGCATAAATATTGATAGGACAATGAGCCCAATATGGATAAATTGCCTAATTGTCTAGTCAATCTAAAATTACACCATTTGGCCAAGGCAAAAAAGAGGCCCTGTGGGATTAGAAATAGGTGAATTAATACTAAATTTTTATTTAAAATTAATAAATACGGAATATTACATAGCTCCACGCAAGCAGGACAAGAGACCACTTTCATCACTGTCACACTCTTTTTCAAATAAGTTGATCTAAAGTTGTGGAATTCGTTAATCCACACCGTCAAGGTATCCACTAGCCTTGCATTATAGGGATTTTGCAATCGGGTTGGACAGCACTTTCTAAGAGTGTGGGTCGTGTTTCAAAATTCTCATATTTCATTACTCGTCCCTTGGTTGTTAAAAATGCTTAATTATGATTTTCAGCGTTTATGGACCATTTTTTGGCTATCTAAAAGGTGCCATCTTTCACCCATTCCATTTTTTCTAACAGTAGTTGAGATATAAATTCGTTTTGAGGGAGCATTTTATTCGATATTTTTTTTCCAATACTCATGTTGTGGCAAGACGCGATGGAGGAATCTCAGGGAAGTAGAAATCAAGGATGGAGCATGAATTCATCTAAATATGTTCTGCACTTTTCTTCTAACAATGCTGACAAAAGAAAGCTCCAAATTCCCCTTCTTATTTTTTTTGCCTGATTGGAGATCTCAATGATATTCATAGTGGACCAATTGGCTGGTGATTGATCACGAAATCTCGCTATGTTGTTTTCATTTTCGTTTGCTGAAGAGCAGTTAATCGATAAAAAAATTGTCTATTATTTTTTTACTCTTTAAGAATTGGATACCGCGAGTATATCGAGTTTTTGCGATTCTATCAATCCTTTGACATAACAATAGTTCTAACTCTTCTTTCTCCACTTGTAGTATGGAGGGCAGTATTGCTCATTTGCCGGAAATAATCGCGCTGAAGAAGAAGTATAAAGCCTACATCTACTTGGATGAAGCTCACAGTATTGGTGCGTTGGGTCCTCGTGGTCGTGGGGTGGTGGATTACTTCGGTGCCGATCCCAAGGACATTGATATCGCCATGGGGACATTCACAAAGAGCTTTGGCTCATCGGGTGGTTACCTGGCCGGAACGAAGAGGTTCATCGACTTTGTACGCACAGAGTCCTACAGCTCAATTTACGGTGGTACTATGCCTGCTCCTGTGTGTCAACAGATTATCACTTCAATGAAGATTATTATGGGAAGAGAATGCCCTGGCGAGGGTGAACGGAGGTGTGTGCGCGTAATATAGTCTTCCATTTTCTTTTTTTATTTTGGGGGTGGGGGGTGGGGGGGGGCTGAACAGTATCAGTTACTTCATTATTAAGTAAAGACAGCATGGAGTGTTTTTCGGGCATCAGAATTCTTATTCAATTTTCTTCAACTATTGGCCTTATTCAGTGTGGATTCACGATCCTGTGAAGGGATCTTGGCATCTATTTTACCTGAATCACTTTTCCAATTTCTTTTTAAAAATTGACACACTGACACAATGTGTACACACGGGAATTAGAAGGAAGTCTCTTACAAACTCACAGAAAGAAGAGAAATAATTTGAGCTTATTTCGTTTGTTTTTTTAATACTTACAAATAGAACGAAAGCAGATGGATTTTGAAACAATTGGATCAGATTGATTAATTCTAACTGGGATCACCAGTTCACGAGTGGAAAATTTTCCAATCCTATTTCGGAGACTAAACAGGACTTGGCATGTCACGAGAAGTTCACGTTCCCCCCACGGGTTGGCTATCCACGTCACTGGGCTTATATCTTTGAGCATCCGTATTGTGAACTCTCTATCACTTGCTCATTAGGCGAATAAGGTTACTTTCTCTTCAAATGTCCCCTAAAGCTAAAGCTCACGAAAATTGGTTGACGTTTGCCATAGTGATAATCTTGCTCATAAAATAGTGATGTATTGGTTGGTCGTTCAGTTGTTCCTCCAGCAAGGTCAATCTCGACTCACTTCTATTTCAAGCCAATTCTTCCCCATTCTGGGATGGAATTAAGATCAGGTCAGTTCAGTAGATCAATACGAAGCCATCTACCACTTTAACCCCCCCCCCCCACCCCCCACTCAAACCTCAGTTATTTATTATCTTGCTTGGTTGTTAGTATTAAATGGAAGAGATAGATTTTCCAATAGCCGTGAGTCACAAGGTCACCTAATGTAAGCTTTTATAAAGGTTATACTAAAATATTTATTTTCTATTGATCTTGTTGTCATTATGTCAAACAGCAAGGCAAAATGTTTTTGCTTTCTTTTTAATACGCAATTAGTCATTATGAAAATCAATTGGAGTTGGTTAATACAATTAAAAATGCTTAGCGAGCGGATTAAAGAGGTTGTGTGAGTTAAGCCGAACTAACTGTAAATCGTGCCTTATTTTGGCTTTGAATTTCAGTTGTACAAGATTCAATTGTAGTTGTCAATTCATTTTCGAATGCGCCTAGATTTAAATTGGACTAAATGAGAAAATTTGGTTCCACAAAATTTCTTGCACTCTTTCCTTTTTAAGCGTTGAGATAGCAGTGTGGTCTTACAACATACTGGACACCTTGCATGATCTTATCTCAGAAGGATTAAATTAACCTATTTACAGTTAATTTTCATCATTAGCAATTGTTTTTCCTTAATGTCTAATGAATTTCTTGGAGTTGGGGGGGGGGGGGCAAGG